GATCTAAAAAGATTGAGAACCACTGACCTAGGAGATAAACCTGAATCTTCAGAAAAGCAAATCTGTCTAACTAAGGAAATACACATAGCATGAATAAAATCATAGTGTAATTTATCACTGATCATACTTTATGATTAACCAAATGTGTTTCATCAGTGATTTAAGGTAACTGTTTAGAACCCCTCCTTCACTAAGACACATTGAAAAGGCAGAGCTTGATATGGCTAAAGTTGGCCTCTTTTAGATGTGTTGACTTATGGGTCACATTGGGCAGAAATTCTGGAAACTGCAGCCCAGCACATCTTAACAACATGGTCTGGCAAAGGCTGATGCAAATGTTAACTATCGTTAGAATCAAGATGGAAATTTTGATTATATTCTGTTTATTGCAGAATACAATTTTGGTTCCACTGTGGCCACAGCAAAAATGAACACTGCACTATCGGTAATCCTCGAGTTACAACTATTTGCTCAATGATCGTTCAAAGTTATGGCAGCATTGAAGAGATGGTACTTAAGTTTGGTCCTCTAAATTACAGCCATTACACCACACCCATGATCACATCATCAAAATTCAAGGGCTTGGCAGCCTGCCCACACTTATGACTGAAAGAGCACTTGAACCTCCCATCTACCGATCTCTCTCCCCATCTCTGTCCTTTTGGCTAACCTGCACAGTGACACTCCTTGGAGGCAGTGGCAGCAGTGGGACTGAAACAGAGGCTCAAGGTCTTTAGCAATTCCAGTCAGCTGCCATGACACATGAGCTTCTACTTCTGCCTCTGTGCCAAGAAGGGCCGCCTCAAGTTGCTCCAGCCACCCCTGCCCTCTGCATTCTGCTCCTGTCATTCTGCCAGCCCTGTGTTCTACTGGCCTTGCCACTCTGCTGTCCCCAGTTGGCACCATCTTCCTCTGACTGCTGATGAGGCATGCCCAGCCTGTCCCTCAATGAGGCAGCTGCTGCCTTTATCGGGCCTTCTTGCGGAGGGCGCTTGTCCTGTTCTCTAAATAGCATAGGCTATTCTCACAATGCTTTGGAAGACTTCTGAGGTCTTTTCAAACCTTATGGGAAAGTGACACACACCATGCTCCAAATCACATGGGCTGTTCTCACAAGGACCTGCACTGTTTGGAGGGCAGAATGAACTGCGTCAGGAAGATGGCGGGACTTGGCCAGCAGCTACCCTGAATAGGGCCAGGCTGGGCCCGCCTCATCAATAATGGGAGGAAGATTGCAAAGATCAGCTGGAGGCAATAGGGCAGCAGGGTCAATGAGCATAAGGTGGCATAGCCAGCAAGGCCAGCAGGGGTGATGGAGTACAAGGTGGCAAAAAGGGCAGAGAGGTGGTATGGGAGAAGACAGATGGCTGTGTGGAGAAGAGGAGACCGTCCTTTACCTTAACCAAGGTTCTGGGCTGGGAGGGGCTTGGATGGAGGTGGATCTCTGCCTAACAACCAATGGGATTCACTTAATGACAGCAACAGGGAGAGCTGGAACTGCCATTGCTAAACAATGCAGTCATGTGACATCACATTTTACGTTGCTTAACAATGGAAATTCTGCTTCCAATTACCATTGTAACTGGAGAACTGACAGTATATATTATTAGTACATCATTTTGTAGCACATAGCTTATGTATTTGCTCAGTTCCCATTGAAACAAACATACACAAACAGAGGGATGTCCAGAACATTCCTACATTAGTACCCTCCAGATGTGTTGGTCTCCAGTTGTGCTGATCAACAACACCACAAATTCCCCTGTTCCTGAGAATTGTAATCCAACATATCTGGAGAGCAGGAAATTGGAAAGGGTGTTCTACAGAAATTATTTAAAAGCACTACAAGAGGTATCCAGAGTTGCATCAAGAAAAGAATAGAATTCTACTAAAAAAGTGCAGTTTAAAAACTTAATTGTAAGAAACTTGCCTGGATAACTGGGTTTGATTGAAGATCCCACGGAAAGCACTAAAAATCCACAGAACCAGATACAGGCATTATTGGGCAGTATAAGAAGCTATAAACTGATTTATAAAAATAAAAAAGCATGACTAAGTTCCATCCATTTTTCTCCTCCTTTCTCTAATGTTCTCTCAAAAAACAACAATGTAGATTTACCCTGTATTTAAAATGCTAAGTAGATGTAGATAAATAAGGATAACCTACCTTGGAAATGTTAAAAGAATGCTACTGCATTCACTTCAAAATATATATATATATACAGAAAAAAACATCAACCTTTGGCCAAAAGAGTTTTGACAGCAGCACGTATTTCCTTTTGTCATTCAATTCTGCTTTAGTTCATTTGTTAAATTATTAAAATGTATTTCACCTGCTTAGGTAATTAGCATGTTATGGGCTCAGTAGTGCAGGTAATATGAAGTCATTATTAAGAAAAAATGATATTGTATTCCAGCCACAGGTGCTGGTAGGCCCTTAAGGCAAAGACAAGGGATCAGAAAAGATTCTGCGAAACCTGGTTTGCTTCTGTATAAATTCTGAGCCCTCCCCTATTGTCATTTTACTATCCCCTTAGTAAAACAGCCCACTGGAGTTCACCTGGAGAGGTGCATGAAGTTCAGACAGGGCAGGACAATTAAAAGGATGGGGAATAAGTATAGAAGAGGCAGCATATTTAACATTAACTGCCTTTAGCATTGGTTGCTTTTTTTCCTACTAAGCAACTGGGGTAAAACATCTGCCAACTTGCTTCCCTAGCACCCAAAATCAGAGCACTAGTGAGGCTTGGAATATCTCTGCCCTCACCCACCCTTAACTAATTATGTCTCAGGCCCAGGCACTATAGGCATTGGCTGCACCTTCTCTGGCACGATATAAAGCTATGGGCCAGGTGCAGAATTGAAAGCTTTAGATTCATTTTCTGCCCTTGCTCTGCAGCACAGAATATGAGAGCTTCTTCATCCTGGTGCTTTTCAAATCTGCTAGGCTACTATTCCCAGAATTCCTTGTTCGACACATATCAGCCTATGATCACTCATTGATTCTAATTCATTTTACTAATATAAGTCATTTGGGCTCTGCCGTCAAAAATGGATTATTAAATACTGCTTTCCTCTTTTGTGTTTCTATTCCCTGGGTATAGGACTATTGCATTAAACCAGTGGTTCTCAACCTTTTTAATGCCGCGACCCCCAACCAGTCGTAAGTCGAGGACTACTCAACTGGTGCAGCACCGTTTGCAGAATGGGACTTTTGGCGGGCTCAGCAGGGCAGAGACAGCCTGGACAATTCCTATTGGCTTTTGAAAGCCAATAGAATTAGACTCTATTCAAGAGAGTCTATTCTATTGGCTTTCAAAAGCCAATAGAATAAAAGGGAGTAGCACAGCTAAGGAAAAGGGGAAAAAATGGCGGACTGCGTTGTTTGGCGACCCCCGTGAAATGGTCGTTCGACCCCAGATGGAGTCCCGACCCACAGGTTGAGAACCACTGCATTAAACAATGTTGTTTCAGTGAATAATATTTTTTTTTTTAAAAAAACCCTTCTAAATGGCTGATCTTGCCCTTTTTTCAATTGGCCTGATCCATACAAATTCTTAGAAAACAAATTATTATTTTAAAAAAAGCCTTTAATGACTTCTAAGTTAAGCTTGACTCCTGGGAATATGACTACATCCATGTATTGCAATGGTAAATAAATGACCTGCTATTACTTTAAACTGTGGGATGTTAGGGTTTTTTTTCAACTTTATAGTACAGCTGTCAGCACTCTAAGCAATCCAATCCTGCTTAATTTTTCTCAAGATTAGTTAAATACAACTAAGTGTTATTACTGGTGATAAAAGATTATGGAAGAGCAGTATTATATGCCAGTCTTGTGTTGGGGAAGTCTTTCTTTTTACTATCCTTTGTTACCACCATTAAAACCCTTTTAGGATTTATAAATCAGTCTCTAAAGGAACATAACTGGAGAGAATATAGGGAAGGTATAGGTCAGGGGTAGGCAACCTTGGCTCTTTTGTGACTTGTGAACTTCAACTCCCAGAATTCCTGAGCCAGCTTGGCTCCCAGGAATTCTGGGAGTTGAAGTCCACGAGTCATAAAAGAGCCAAGGTTGCCAACCCTTTATAGGTTAAGAAAGGGTCATGTTTACTTATTTCTTCTAATTATCTAGAAGATCAGTTAGCATTATATTATCCTGGTTCTAACATTATTCTGAAACTGTCTCTCTGGCAGAGACAGAGGCTTTCAAGTTTGGTCTCTGAGCCTCCTCCAGGCCTGTTCTTCTGAATGCACTTCCCTTTTTATCTGGTTCCCTCTTCCTGGTAAACTCTCATCTGGAAAGGGTAGGCCATCTTTGATGATAGGCCAGTTTGGTCTAATGGTGAAGGCACCAGCCTAGAAAGCAGGATACCATGACACCGCTTTAGCCACAAAAGCTAGCTGAGATGAACATCTAGATCAGTGGTGGAGAACCTATGGTATGCATACCAGAGGTGGCACTCAGAGCCCTCTCTGTGGGCACACGTGCTGTTGCCCCAGCCCCGCCTCCCATGCGGCCCCCTCCTCACCAAAGCCCCCTCAGAGGAGAGTTGCCCCCAGGTGCGGAGCAGCGCAGCCAAGGACATGGCAGCTGGGCAGCAGGGACAATACTCTGCCCTCCTGCCCCATTGCGCGACAATGCTGTGGGACGCGGGTGGAGGGCGTGGCCATGGTGCTGCAGGGCCGCCTGGGCAATCTGGGTGGCTCTGTGGGCGGACAGGGCAGAGTAGGGGGCGGAGTAGGTGGGTGGGTGGGGCAGTTTTGGGGCACTCGGTCTCTAAAAGGTTCGCCATCACTGATCTAGATCTAAGAAAGGGTGGCTAGAGACAGGAAGCAGATCGGAAAGGACTTTACATTCTTTGCTGGCTGATTTTTGAATCCCAACTGAAGAAATGTTGTATAATACCTCCTGTATTTGAACCCACTGAGCCAATTCAGGGGCATTACTCAAAAATCAAAATTTGGGGTCAGTTCTAACATTTTTTTTCTAACTGCAGCTGGTATAAAGACCGAAGGAATGGCTTTGAAGGACAGGACAAAAAGCCTGCTACCAAGACAATGGCCAAATCAACAGTCCTGGCCAAGAAATTAATTTACGAAGATTTCGGAGAAGTAAGTCCTTCCCTAGCTCACGTGAGGAGAGGGGAAACACATTCAGACTTGCAAGAGTCTGTCACTACAGCAATTACAATAAAAATCCTGTATGTCACTGTTTATTTAGTCTGGTTTACCTTATACAACTAACCTTGGGGATGACTAAAATATTTCTGACATTTAGCTGATTGATGACCAAAATAAAGAGACTTGGCTTGATTTTTAGCAGCATTTCATTATTCCCTTTTTGAATGACCATTGGAAAAATGAGCTAATTCTAAGCATGACAGAAATTACTTAATGAGGAACAGAGGTGACACCATTTTAAACACTTCAAATAAACATTAATGGCGCTCAAATTTTGCAATTCAAAATGTTATTTTATGGGTTATTTTAACCTTATTAAACATATTTTATGAACAAATGATATAAAAAGATTATTATTACATTTTATTGTAAGTTATTAACAGATTATTAACACTTGGTGCTAACTAGGCACATAACTAATCAATTGAGGGTAAAGAATAGCTACTTTATTATCACTTTTTATTTCAGGACAATCCTTTATAATATGAGCATTTAATAATGCCTCGTTTATAGTTACAGGAAGTTTCCTATCAGTTTTGCCTGGCAGTTTTAAACCAAATCCTTATAAAACCTTTATTATCTCCAGTTCCTGGCATTTAGGAGAAAAACTAATGGCACATTTACACAAGAAAACCATTTAAAAATAACCAGGGGCTAAAATAGGACAAAGTTTTCAGAATTGTTCAGTTCTCACCTGAAATTTCTCACCCTGAGCTCTGATACCATTAGCTAGCTAATACTCAAGATTCTTTAATCTAATGTAAATGGCTATATGGAGCATCCACTTAACAAAAGGTCTTGAATCCTGACCCTTTAGCATCGCTTGGGCTGTATATCTTTTCATTTCAATGACTATGAAATCCCAACTTCAATTTTTGGCATCTCTTGGTAGGCCTGGGAAAGATCCCTGCCTGAAAATTTGGGGAGATGATTCCACTTAACCACTGGATGTATCAGACTATGATTCCCAGAATTCGCAGTCAGCTGCAACACAATACAATATATTATATAGTGGATTTTTTCATGTATCCCTGTGTCAAAGTGGAAGAAGATTTGGGTCCAAATTCATTCAGGAAAAAACTAGGCTACTTGAATATCTATAACTGAATTTAATGAAAAGATTATGGGTTTTCCATCTCTCAAAGGTTTAAAAAAATTTAAAGTTTGTCCAGCCTCTTAAAAATCACTCTTCGAGGACAGCTTAACCAGTTTCCCTGGATACTGTGGTGGGTTGGATTCTTTATAATTACTTCAATGAATTATAACCCCAATTACACCTTTAAGGTATTATTACTTACACGCAAAAGGTAATTTCTGGAAGAAGAATCCTTAATGTAGTTTACATTTCAAGTCATGAAACCGTAAGTGAAAACAATTCACCACAAATTACTAGTGAAAACAGGCAAAACATTCATAGGTCCAACCTGGGCAATCGCAGGTGGGGAAATGTGTGTTGAGATGGAAATGCTGCTTTTCTTGTGTGCTTATGTCATAATGCTACTGATTACCATGTAAAGGGCAGAGTCTGTGTTGTGACATCACAATAATCAGTTCATCATTTCAGCACCACTGACTTTTATAGGATTTGTGGGCGCCTCCCACCGCAAAAATAATAGCATTAAAATGATTGTTTCATGAGTTTCAATACTTTTTAAAATTTTTACAGAGAAACAGGGAATAGCAAATAATATATGTACTATTTTGTAATGATCAGTTGTTTCCAATTAATCATGATATCTATTACATATCATCAAAAATACTAAATTTTAGAATTTATTTATGCTATGCCTAAAATTATAAATAAAATCCTTCATCTGATGTTCCAATTCTATGCCTATTTGCCTGTTTTTTTATGTAAAGGCTATGGAAATAAATATTTATCAAAAGACATGAAAATAATTTCATTTGGTTCCTGGGAAAAAAAGACTGGGACATTTAAAGAACCTGCTGGATCAGTACACTGCTCCAACAAGGGTACATACTTCCAGAAAGGAGTTCCTGAAGGAACTTTCAAACCATGAGATCATTTTTGAAATTCATTTTGACTCCGATAAAAAAAATTAAAGTTCATGGGCCTGGGGGGATTGTGCCTATTGGGTAAGCCAATCTTGGTGGCAGGAAGGGAGGATAGGAAAATTCATGATTTTGCTACTTTTTAAGCCCTAAGCCTAATCTGATGACAGAATATATGTATCAGGTCCTTCTTGTCTTATAGAGAGATGTGTGAAGGACCAGAGAACAGATGAAAAATAAAGTTTCCCTTGAGCCAAGCTAAATCCCTGTGAATACATGGACGCTTCTTTCTTAAATAGCCAAGAGCCCTATTATCATACAATATTGCGAAGATCAGGACCTTGTGCCTTATCTGTATAATTGTAATATAGTTCCACCACTCAGCCCTCTTCAGAAGGCTGAAACTCTCACTAGTCATGCTACTTCATTAAAGTGAAGGAGAATAGAAATAAAAAGTATAAACTTTCTTAAACTGAAATTTGAGATGAATAACAGAAGAGGGCCTTGTTTCCTGCTTTGCTAACTCTACTTGTTAGCTCTACAAGGTAAGATCAATTCACAAAATGGACATCACAGGATGACTAGAGCTATACTTTACCGAGATATGTGGTAGAAACAGAATCTTGTAAGTCTGCCCATCAGGGAGTTGGGGCAGTCAGTCTGAATATCTTTCTAATACTTTCCCATCCATCTCCCCCCCCCCAGCACACTTTTTTTGTACCTATTGTCCGTTCACTTTCTGAATGCCTTCTCTCAGATCATCTCCATGGCTCCCCACAAGTCTTCACAAAAACCTAGAATGCTACATGGGGGAACGCTGTCCTAAGTCACCAGTAAAAGGAACCCTCTTCAAAATTTGATCGGTTCTGTACTCCCAGAAAAGACCAAGCTTGACATCAGTGACTAGCTGTTGTTCGCAAAAAATTTAGCAAACATAGCCTGGCGAGGGAAATCATAAAAGAAGCCCAAATGACAACAGCTTTTAAAACAAAACAAAAAAACAAAAAAAAAACCACCACCATCCCTACTTCCCAAATATTGAAAAGACACATAATGGAACAGCTGGATCGTGGTATTGTTTCACCTGAGAGAAGTAAATAACACATTTCCATACAGTACCCAGTGGCATTTTATTTGCCTACAAAGCAAATGAGCGAAAGGGGAATGTCCTCTACGGAACGAAAGGAGTTAGCCAAGGCTGCCTCTATTTAAATTTCAAAACAATAGCAAAAATGGGGCTTTTGCAAAGGGAAGGAAATGGCAGAATATGTCACTATTTTAATATACGGGAGGTTATTATTTCCTTGGGGAAATCTGGTTGAGCCATCCTATTTTAGCCCAGAACCATACTATATTTAGGACATGTAACACATCTGTGCTATAATGGGAACTGACATGAGGCCTGTGCTGTAATGAAGGCTTCTGACACACAGTAATGAGGGTTAAGGAAAGCCACATCCTAATCAATTCTGAGCTTAGGTTTATAGATAGAAAGGTATAACCCGGCAATCATTCTTTCTGAGTAACCCCAATTTACTTCTCCGGGGCTTGGATTGATCAGATCCAAGCTGGATTGGATTCAGACGGTCCTTTCATCATTCCTCTTTGTCCTAACATCTGTCAACAGATGGGTCTATGGCTATCAGTTTGGAGCTGTTGCACGGCCCCCCACTGCAGCTGACCCATGACCAAGAAAAATCCTCCTTGGCCAAGAGGCTGAAGATATCAGGAAACCAGAAAAGCGCCTGATATGCATAGATCCACTTACATATTGATAGAAAAACCTTGGGTGTGTTTTACTCCAGCTCTGCTCATTCTCTGCCTACCATCTGCTTTGTTCAGTGGAAGACCAATTTGGGGTGGAGGGGGGCACTCTAGGGGAGAATGAGCCTGTAGCATTTTCCCCACCTCTAAGCTGGCTGTTCACTCCTCCTGGTCTGTTTTGCACTAAAAATGGAGATTTCCCTTGGCATGTAGTAACCCCATATAGTATAATTGTTTTTTAGAAGTTTGCAGCTGCACACAAGGGGTCAGGAGCCAAAGGTTATTGCCTTAGAAGAATAAATAATATGAAGTCTCTTGAAAGAGAGACCTGTGGTAGTATAAAACCTCTGTGTAAACCCAAGGAAAAAGGGATGGTGGCAGAATCTCACTGTTTGCTACTAAAACCTATTCTAGTTGTTGTTTTACCGCTTAGAAACTTCCCAGTTATTTTGTTTGGCTGGACTCTTTTTTTTCTGATTATTTATTTATCAATTTATTTGCCACCCATTTTGCCTCAATAGGAGCAAGCGGCATGCATAAACCAAGCAATGGATCGGCCATGTTAATTGACACAAAATACCAATTTCTAACTGGCCTTCATAGGGTTTCTTCAGTATGTGCTTCAATTTCACAATCCATGCTCTACTGCAACCAAGCCACCAGCTGAGGCTTACAACCAGAGTAACTACACAATGGAAATCATATTGATTTTATTAATACATGCTTGGGGTTTCAATGTTGAAAAAAGGAGAGAACCTTAGTGATATTGTTGCGCTTCTACTGTTTTAAAATATGCCACTGTTTCAAGATAACACCAAAATCCTGGCTAGAAAACAAGTAAACATCTCCAACCATGCTGCTGCTTACCGATCTGACTACATTTGTCATCAAAACAAGTCAACAAAGCTGTAATGTAACACAATTCTATTGCACTTATATTTATGTTTAGACGTACAAGGATTGGTTAAGATCATGATGTTTTCTATCTGACCAAAGTATAGGTAGTCCTTGCTTAACGACCAGTTGTTTAGTGATCATTTGAAGTTATGACAGATCTCCCCAGAATTATTTAAGATTCAGTTCCAGAGTTCTGATGGCTGAGCCCCCCTCCCAGTCACGTGATTACATTTTGGGCGCTTGGCACAAAACACCCATTGAAGAAAACATGCTTGTTTAATGACAACTGTGTTAGCTTAATAATCCCTGCAAAAAAAAAAGATAATAAAATTGGATGCGGTTACATGCAAGCCA